AGTTAGAATGGCAATCATTAAAAAATCAGGAAACAACAGGTGCTGGAGAGGATGTGGAGAAATTGGAACACTTTTACACTGTGGGTGGGACTGTAAACTAGTTCAACCATTGTGGAAAACAGTGTGGCGATTCCTCAAGGATCTAGAACTAGAAATACCATTTGACCCAGTCATCCCATTACTGGGGATATACCCAAAGGATTATAAGTCATGCCACTATAAAGACACATGCACATGTATGTTTATTGCGGCACTATTCACAATAGCAAAGACTTGGAATCAACCCAAATATCCATCAATGACAGACTGGATTAAGAAAATGTGGCACACATACACCATGGAATACTATGCAGCCATAAAAAAGGATGAGCTTGTGTCCTTTGAGGGACATGGATGGAGCTGGAAACCATCATTCTCACCAAACTATCTCAAGAATAGAAAAGCAAATACCGCATGTTCTCACTCATAGGTGGGAATTGAACAATGAGATCACATGGACACAGGAAGGGGAACATCACACACTGGGTCCTATTGTGGGGAGGGGTAGTGGGGAGGGATAGCATTAGGAGATATACCTAATGTAAATGATGAGTTAATGGGTGCAGCACACCAACATGGCACATGGATACATATGTAACAAACCTACACATTGTACACATGTCCCCTAGAACTTAAAGTATAATTAAAAAAAAAAAAAAAAAAAGAAGCCCTTATCTGCCAGGGAAAGGGCAGAAAGCTCTGCTGCCTTCAGGCACAGGTGAAAACCCTAAAGTAATTGAAGTCTTGCTATGGATATCTTGACAAATACTATCATCTGGTATCAATAGTCAGTCCTCATTATCCAAAAATGTTATATTTGCTAATTTGTCTACTTGCCAAATTTTATGTGTAGCCCCTAGATATATATTCATAGCACTTTCACAATCATTCATGAACATGTGCAGAGAGGTACAAAATTTGAGTCCCTCAAAGAACATATTTCTAAGGTAGAAAAAGGTGGTGCGCTCTGTCTTCATGTTCCAGCTCTCACACAGTAAACAAGCGTCCTTTTTGTAGTCTATATAGTGCCAACTTTTTCACATTTTTGTGTTTTTGGTTGGTGATTTCACAATCTTAAATGGCTCCCAAGTGTAATGCTTAAGTGTTGTTTCATTTTCCTAAGCATAAGAAGGCTGTGACGTGCCTTACAGAGAAAAATGTGTGTGTTAGACTTTGTTATAGTTACATGGTTGTTGACTATGAATTCAATGTTAATAAATCAACAGTGCAGTACATGCAGGAACAGGGGGAGGAAATTCACCCATCTGCAGGTGAGGTTGCTTGGGAAAGTAACATCTATAATGCTATGCTGAAGCTATGGGAAAACAGTTACATTTGTGGATTCATGAAATGACAACCATTTTTTAAAGTATAGTGGACAGCAATATTGTGAGGCTGAAAACCAAAAAAATTTATGATCATGTTAACCAAGGTCAGAAATATACTAAACACTTCTTAGTGTTTTATTATATGGAAATACTGCATATAATGAATTAATTATAAATATATACATATATAAAATAAGATGTCTTTAAACAGAAACACACATAAAACAAGCTTATGTATTCATCAGTTAACAAAAATGTTGTGAAAAAGCTCACAAGAACCTAACACCTGTATTTCCCTGGGAACAATGGCTCAGTGCTCATGAATCCAGTGTTTGCGACAACTGCACAGAATATAACTGTCGTGAATAATAAGAATGTGCAGTATGATATTACTTGCCTTGATCTCACTTCAATCTTCAGGAGCAACACTCTTGTTCCCTTTTTTGATCATTTTCTCTTCAGTGACACACTTGTACTACATCTCAGGCATCACCAGCATAAGTGTCTCACAAATTTTAGTGGACTTGTGAGTATCCTGCTGATTTTCCAAAATACAAATTATAATTCAGTAAATCTAAGGTGACGCCCAAATTCTACATTTCTAACAAGCTCCAATGTGAGAACTCTGCTGCTTGTCCCTGAACCACTGAATAGTAAAGATATAAATCCTGCCTTGCATACCTGCAACACTAATTTAACTCAAATAACTCTCTATAGTTGAATGATAGGAGTAGTAAGAGACAAAATTGTGTTTCTCCTCTGGAGCTCAGAGAACAAACTATAGAACTAGGAATGTGTAAAATTTCCTCCAAACAAGAAGGCTTTTAACCAGAAGAGTATCAAATGTCTCAACTACTTCAAAAGCACCAGGAAGGAAAAGAATAAGAAAAGACTACAAATTTGGCATAAATTCAACACAGAGTTTTATTGAGAACATGTTTCATGAAGGAAAGATCCTTCACCAAGGATGCATATATTAAAAACACACATACTTTGCATTGAAGGAGTAGAAAAATTAGAAGGAAAAGGGGGACCTAAATAGCTGCAACGAAGGAGAGGAAGTAAGGAGTACAGTCAGCAAAGTACGGCTGAAATGTGGTGGGAGTTCAGACCAGGAAGAGACCGCTTCCCACTTGTGAGTCAGGGAAGGCCCTCGGGAATAAGGGACATCTATAACAAGCCTGATGATTCATTAATAGTTGAATACAGGAATATTGCTAGGATCCCATTCCATTTGGAGATAAAATTTGAATTTTAAAGTCCCAGAACCCAGGTCAGAACAACAAATCCTGCAAAACTAAATTGAACTTATATTGACAAATGATGATTAATCAGAAACAAGCAAAAATGACAAAAGTTTTACAAGGAGAGTTGAGAGGACGTCATCACCACGATGTGTTCAGGTGTATCCTGAGCTATTGGACTGCTGGTCTCTCACCCCAAAAGGAGAAGGGTGAGAAGGAGGATCATGGTGTATCTTAACGGAAACTGGATGAAAACAGAGATAGAAGTCACTCTGAATAAGGTGGAGCTAAAAATTGAGGAGTAAGAGGGAAAGGGACTGGGGAGAGAAGAACTGAGGAGAGAGAAACAAAAAACATGGGAAGACAAGAGGGGTAGGGACTAAGAGTAGGAAAGACACATGCCAAGAACTCACCAGCGTTTCCTGAACCAAAACGCAAGACCTATCAGAAGAAGCAAAGGCACTATCACCGCCAAGATGATCAAGCCCATGGAACTGTGATGTTCTGTGAAATTGGAGAGACACCAAGGATGTTATAATCCACCCATTTTACCTCACCACTCCCTGTTTCACTGCGTTCCCTTGGCTTCTTTTTTTCATCTGAGAATCCAACTTACCAATCTCTTTTCTTTTTTTGTTTTTCTCTCATCCCTGCTCAGAGATGGATTCTTCATCTTATCCTCAGCAACCTCCTGCATCTACAGTGCCCTCATTTTCAACACTTCCATTTCTTAGCTTACCTATTTTTATTCATGTTGGGGCTATAATCCCTAAAATCCTAAAATTTTCAGCTTGCCCTCCCTCTATGCCTGAGGACCACCTCTTGGCATTTCCAGCCTGGGCCCCAGCTCTTTCTCACCCCAGTAGAGGACGATGTCCTGGCCCTCTAGACTGCTGTGCTTCACCCGACAGGAGAGGCCAGCTGCCTCCCCAGCGGCCACCTCCAGGGTTGTTCGGAGAGACCATGTCCCGTCAGCATTGGGCAGGATGTCCCCTCGCTGAATGCCCTGCTGCTCCTGCTCACCCCGCATCCACATCACCCACACAGGTTTTGGGTAGAATCCTGAGACATGGCACACAAGCTGTAGATGGCCAGGGCCCGGACTGAGGCCACGGGACAGCCAGGCCTCGGGCTTCACTGCATAGAACAGAAAAGATATTCAAATACAGACTTGGAGTTTCCTATCTCTACAGTAGTTTAGAAGTTTAGATAGACACATCGTTCCCATTTCTCTTTTCTTTTTCTTTTTTTTTTTTTTTTTTTTTGAGACAGGGTCTTACTCTGTCACTATGCAGCAGTGCAGTGGCATAATTATAATTATAGCACACTGTAACCTCAAACTCTTGGGCTCAAGCTATCCTCCTGCCTCAGCCTCTTAAGTAACTGGGACTACAGGTGTGTGTTACCATGACTGGATAACTTATTTTTATTTTTTCGAGACAGGAGTCTCACTATGTTGCTCAGACTGGTCTGGGACTCCTGGGCCCTTAAGCGGCCCTCCA